ACTGATGAAAGTGTGCTGCTAGGAATACTATTATATAATTAGCAGGACAGATTCAAAGTAGACTTATGACTCACTAAAGACGTTGACAAGTTTTTTTGTAATGTCCATTTTGTTTTCATTGATTACGATTGCCATGATTTCTAATGTACTCTCAAATGACAGATTCTATCGAGGAAAATCCATTGCATGGATAGGATGAACATTTATCAATATTCAATACTGTCTGTTCTTTGATCCATCCTTTCTCTCATGCTTACAGATCTGAACTTGTCAATATTTTGCATAAACATCCCTGGTTGTGAAGTATGAGATGAACATTAATTTCGAACAAAACTAGAGCAGATATTCCACCACATGATGTAGATGATATCGTATGGATCTGCGTTTATTAGAGAGCAGATCATATAGGATGCTAGCTAGTTTGAAAATTTAAAATCTAGTCTTTCCATTTCAGGTTAGGAGAGTAAGTTAATCGTGGAAACAGGAGAGTTGGGACATAGAAAAGCATGAGAAACTGCTCCTCACGACACAAGGAGGAGTCCTTGCATAAGAAATCCTACATCGAAAAATAATTTTTTATTGGGGGGAAAATGTAAGGGTTTTAATTATTGAACAAGATTGTTGAGTCAAGTAGCGGTCGAATTGTAATCCAAAGAGGTATTAATTAAAATAATTGGATGTGAATTGGATCAGTATTTAGATAAGAGTTGAAGTGATACATGCTTGTCCACCTTGTGGACTCCGTTTGTAGGATGCTCCTTGGACCCTTGAGTGAAAGATCCATCCCATACACCTGGAATAGATAGGAAGATAATCATGCATTGTTGAACATCTATGTTGTTTAGGGCTTGATCAAGCTGGTATAACTCCTCTTACTCTTATGCGTGCTTCTGGCTTAGTCCTTTCATACAAAAATTATTTTATTATTATTTGTAAGCAACAGGCAAAAATGGGTTGTATGAAGACCATAGGGTACTGTGGAGTTAGATCAAGTAAATTAGATTACATTCTGTATTGGAACTTAGATCAAGCACATAAGAATAATTCGGGCACAAAAGAAATTAAAAAAGTATAGAACAAAAGCCGAAAACGCTGCTCCTGCCATTCAGAAACAGTCATTCTCTTTTCCTATTAAACGTATGGTGAGTGCATATCATATGTGAACTGATTAAAAAAAACACACACATTACTAGACAGTCCATAGATCCAATGGTTTGTAATTATTTTATTTTATTTTTTATTTAAGGTGTTGGTTTAGATAGTTAACTAGATTAATGCCAGCGCCAGCAATAAAATAATGCTGAATGATAAATTATTTTTGTTTGTTTCCGCGAGAAGGAAAGAAAGTTTGAAGGATTTGAAAGGTTTGAATTTGATTTTTTTTTTTTTTTTGTTATTTTGATGATAGATGATTGTTTGCAGAATGAAGCATAAATTTGAGCAATGATAGATGATACGTTTTTTAATGATAATAAAAAGAGTGTATACGAAGGTTCAATAACACCAATAAAAAAAGAATGGCAAAGCATAAAGCGTGCACGCGCGCGTGCGCGCACACACATATATATATAACTAAACGGTTACGTGGAATGTTTGAGGACAAGTTCGATAAATATGTTTTTAAAAAAAAATTAATAATAAAAAACAAGTGGCTAGTCTTCGTTTGTTTGTTCATCGAAAGTAATATTTATTTATTTATTTATGTATTAGAGCATTCTTACACTTAGCTATGTGTGCATACCAATAATCTAATTACTCATTATGATAAATCAAGTTAAAAAAAATATTTTGAGAATTAAAGGTAAAGAATATCTGAATTGTAAGTATATGTGTATTTAATAAATTTTAATGATATTCAAAAAAACAAAGTAAATAACGATTTTTGGAACAAAATAAAAAATGTTGCTCACTTATTCAAATTAACCATTTATAATAGTTTTACTGTCTTCAATGACATTTATTAACAGGTCAACTCGTAACAATTAATTGAATATATTCGATAATAAAGTTTAGCTAGGCATCAAATATGGTTTGCTATATTACTAGATTTTTTATGAGGAATTCATTTTCTCATATAGCTCAAAATAGGTCTTATTTGTGAAAAAAAAAAAAAAAGTAGAATAATTCATTTCAGCAGTGAAAAAGTTAAAGAATGAAGGATGAAGATGGAGGCAGGCTTGATGAAATTGAAATAAAATGGAGTTATACGTTATGATTCAACGGTTATAATAGCTAGGGTTTTAAGATGAATGGTGGAGTTTAAAAACAAAAAAGCAAAAGCTAGCAGCAGCACATGGACAATGAAGGAAGAAAAATGATGAAAGAAAGGAGGGAAAAAAAAAAAAAGAAAAGAAAAATTGACAGACAATGGCAAAGAAATATAGAAGAAAATTCAAGATGAATGAGCATTAAATGCTCTTGAAAATGAAATGTCCGAAGAGGACAAACAAAGTTGCAGTTAAAGGATCCAAAGATGTGTAAAAAAGTAACAGCGCGCGTGAAGGCACACAAATGGCACAAAAGCTAAATATAATTTTTTATTTTATTTTATTTTTAAGTCACGTACTCAAGATTCCTATCTAGGATTTGAACAAACTCTTTGATAAAGCAAAATACAATAAAAGAAGAGGGTAAAAATTAAAAAATAAATAAATAAGAAAAGAGAGAGCTTGCAGCTCAAAAAAGAATGGGTGTGTGAATAGTCAATCCATAGTAAATTGTATCCATGTGAATAGTAGTTTGAATCATAGTTTTAAATAATTCGGTTACGTTATATAATGATCGTTATATAACGATTTTAGAGCATTCCGTCATCGTTATGTTAGTATTATAGTAAGTCGTAATTCACGATGATAACCGCGATCGTTTTTTCACATGTCCATTATTTAAAACTATGATTTGAACAATCAATAATTTTATGTTTTGTTTAAATTTTTTTTTGTTAATACGTTTATCATTCACATATGTTATTGTATAAACTTAGAATTTTTTAAAAAAAATTATGAATATATAAATATATATGTGTGAACGCGCGTGCATCCACGGATGGGTGTGCAAGAGTTTGAAATAGAGATAACTAATTTAAAATTTTATTGAAGAAAAATTTAGTCCAAGTATATGAAAACTAGTTTTAGGATACCTTGACCACTACATCTAAAACAAAAACGATAAGATTCCAATTTAGGTTGTAAAAAGCTTATAGGCTTACAAATACAATTTCTTGGGCATTTAATATGGATTCTGATAAGTAGCTTTCTTTGCAATGTGGCTCTTGATGAAACCTAACATGCGTATACAAATGGAAAAAATCTACTCAAAATCCGCTTCAGCCTCCATGCTTGCACCTCACATTTTCTATTAATGATGTTCTTCGTATTTGACAGGTGGTTTTGATTAAACAATTTTTTATTTTTATTTTTTTGACATCTGTAACCATTATCCATTAATTTTGAATATTCTATGTAAATATAAAAAGTTGGACGAGTAATTTTTCTCATTTTCAATTCAGTATGAAATTTGGTATTAAAGAATGAGATAGTTTTCATCTGTTTAATTTGTTCAGATTTTTCACAGACTAAATGATATTCATGGAATGGACTTTGGGCAGGAATTAATCTTCTTTCTAGTGTCCGATAGCTTCACCCTATCGTTTCGTTTATGCCTAACAGCTCTTTAGTACCCTTTTCAATAACAAAAATTGAAATACTAAGGGGGTCTCAAAAAGGTTCCAAAATTTTGCACATGTGCATCCCTCGTGTACTTGGGACTCGTGAGAACTGAAAGCATTGTTATCTTGATGAACAAGGACCATTCCTCTTTCTTCTTTCTCAAAGTTTTGGCCAAGCCAGCCCTCTCTTACTCTTTTGTCCTCTCTGTCAAATCTAGACAGATTTGACTCTCGGCAAACTTTCTTTCTCTTGGTCAAACTCTCTTCCTCTTGGCAATTATCTCCTTGAGAAATTTCGGGTTCCTTCTTGTTTTATCTTTTACTTCCTAGCTTTTTTTTCTCTTATTAGTGTTCAAGTTCTCTCTGAAAAGAATATAAGCAAATGAAAACCTAAAAAAAAAAAAAAATCCCCTCTTTTATTTATCTTTTTTGGCCAAAACTTTGGACCAAAATAACACTAATGAGATACATATCCTAAGTTATTTTACACTTAGACATTTTAATTTAGGTAGAACTTCTAATTAGGTTATTATTTCTTAAATTAATACATATTTAGGTCATTAATTAAATTTAAATTCTAAGTTATACATTTATGAGAATTATTTAGTTAAATCATATTTTTTAAGTTTTTCACTTATCAATTAATTCAATATTCATATATAACACTTAGCATCATTAATTTTTTAAACAAAACACTTATCAATAATAATACAAGCATGACGTGAACATATTTAACAAAATAACTATGTATACAAAGCATAGAAATATTTTGGGTATTACAATCACTATGTAATAACATCATTATAGTTTTATTTATTTATTTTATTTTATTCCTTTTGATTTATTGTTTCTAATTCAAATAGAAAGTTGTGTGTGTTTTTTTTTTTTTTTTTTTTTTTTTTTTTGCAAAAATATAGACGTATATGGTTTCTTTAAAATCTTAATGTGAAGTTACTTAAATCTTGGTATCGAAAATGACGTGAAGATACCTCCATCATTAATGATATGTGATTGTAATTCAAATGGTAAAGTATTTCTAGCCATACATTCTTTGGGCATTTAATTTATTGGGTTGTGATCTCTAGCTATCATTGCAAGAAGATATATTGCATTATGGTCCTTAACCCTAGTTAACATCAGATCATGCGTACAATACAAGTATATAACCATGAAAAAAAAAAATATTGCTTCACTTTCAGGCCATTAATGCCATCTACTTCGTGTCTTCTAGGTTCTAGGACATGCTCAAATGTTCAACCTTAGCCACTAGGTTGTCTATAAAAGGCAGATTCCTAGGTCTAATTATGCTCAAAAGATAGAGTGAGAGGTGAAGATGAGTGGAGCTAGCTGCCCAAGCACTGCCTATGCTATGCCCTCAGGCTTAAGGCCTAATGGGCATAACCAACATCAGGCAAGCAAAAGAGACACCTGCTCTTGCTTCCAGATGCCACTGCACTACCCAAGGTACAAGAAGAGTGACTATGAGACGATGCCTGAGTGGAGACTTGACTGCTTGTTGAAAGAGTATGGGCTGCCTGTTGTTGGAGATGCTAACCAGAAGAGGAAATTTGCCATGGGAGCCTTCCTTTGGCCTTCAGAGAACGAGTGAAAGTCCAAACTTCGATGGTGATCATCACATTTCTGCACATATTACCATGCTGTAACTTAATCTATCTATTATAGTAATTAATCTATATGTTATACTAAAAAATCATGTAGCTCCTCGTCTCCCTATAATATATAATTATTGGTTTGTCTATATGTATATATGAAATCCATATCTTAGTTTTAACAATGAGTTAATGTTCGTAAGGTCATTTTATTCTTTATTTCGTTTTGATCATTTTTTTTTAATTTGTTTTGTTTTAAATTTGTCTCTCAATATTTGACTTTTGTATGTCTTAAATTTATTTTTCTGTTATTTTTTTCAAATAATGGTGGTAATTCACTTCGTTAGTCCTACATGACTATGACACGTGCCAATTTTATTTATTATTTCATCTTAATTTCGTCCCTTCACTTTTTTAATAATAAAGAAAACTGCAAATAGAAGAAGAAAATCATCCAAAATATAATTTATGACTTTAAATTTATTTATAATAGTAAGTAAATTTTGAATATAAAATGAAATATTTCTAATATTATTTTTAAATTTCAAGAGATTTTTATTTAAAACGAAAAGAAAATAGGAGCACTGACAAATGCAAATCACATTCTCTAAATTATATATATATATATATATATATATAGATATACATGATGAAGTTTTGAACACTAACTACAATGCTAGCCTTCTTTTGTTGTGCTAAATTCTAGAAGGTCACCAGAGCCATCATCTCACTGAAAGGTTGAACCTAGTGAGACACGGGATCGAATCTCCTCATCTCCTTATGAAAAAGGGGTCAGTCCTTGAAAAAATGCCAGAGGGAATAGCATTGACTTGTAATCAAATCAAACTTTAAAGGGATTGGTATAATTTAGGTTGTCTTAGGTAAAAGGGTGATTCTGGTTTGTCCTCGGCCATGTGAAGTCATGTTTCTGGATCTCTGGGTTAAAGAGTCATCCATTCCCTATGAATGAATAGCAATGTAATCAAGAAGAAGGACATTCGTTTATTAATAATAATAATAATAATAATAAAAGGATCGGAGGAGGAGGAGGAATGTAGCCTCAGGCTTAGTTAAGGCAGTACATGCGCTATTTTGCTAGTTCAAGTGGCCCCCAACAAAGAACTCCAAGTCCAGAGCGGTCTCGGGTATACCCACATGCAGGGCAACTACTGTGTTGATTGTTAGAAAATTAAGATTCCATATTCAACCCACCACTAAAAATCCAATTTAATGTAAAAAAATAAATAACAAAAATAAATAAAATATGACAACACAAAATTTAATACGATCCCATAAAATTTTGCATATTCCACGTATCCAAAAGTAATTCTCTACTATGAGAAAAAAAAATTAATACAAGAATAATTAAAATATTTATACTAAAAATTCAATCTCAAATCTCTTTGTACATCCACTTTTATACGCAAAGAAAACTTCTTTAACTTTTATGTTTTTCACACTCTAAAAGTATCAATCTTTTTTCTTATTTACAATGACCAAAATACTTGGTAGATAAAAAAACAATAAACTTGAATACCAAGTTTACAACTCCACCCTTTTTTAAAAGCTACTCCACTATTCTTTCGCTATTGTTCCAAGGAACACAAGTGATAATCCCAAGAGTCTCCCCTTTGCAAATACTCTTTCCACATGAAGTTTATTGGTTCCATTTTAAATAAAAAAAATCATTGGCTTAAAATTTATAAACTCTACTTGATTGAGGAGATTTATTCAAATGGATTAGACTCACGTGTGAAGAGGAGATTTGTTTGGTACACATATGAGTGGTAAATATCCAACATTAAAAATTAATAATAAAAAAAAAGGTGTTTACGTATAAAATGTACTCATTACCTATTAGTTTAGGTTTGTATTTATTAAGGTGGTGTACATCTTTATATACAAGTCCTCATACGTATAAGCCTAAATGATTCTTGTAAGTGTAGGTCTCCCCAACAAGTGGTATTAGTATCCTCGATGGTTTGGCTAATATGAGTAGATAAGATAGGTGGTTGTGTAGGCAATGATGCAATATCAGCTAGGAAAAGTGTGAAGATAGTGTGGATTCACTTTTATGATTGTTGTTCCATGGTAAAAACTAAAGAGCTAATTGGACTCAAGCAAGCCGCTTCCCTTGTGTTAGAAGTAGAGGACAAACGTGAGTTCTTAGACGAGCAGGCTTTTGTTAGCACAATAGTACTCGAGAGTGACTTTTCCATTCAGGATTGTTAAATACTTCTAATAGAGGAAGAGTTGTAATCGAATGAACCGGACTAATATATGAGTAAGAGATTTATTGGGTATGTATATATATGAGTGATAACTATACCATATTAAAAAAAAAAAAATTGTTTATAAATAATATGAATTCATAACCTACTGGTCTAGATTTTTTTTATAATTAAAATAATGTACATGTTTATTTTTAAGTCTCCATACATATAAACTTATATACAGGCCCGAATCACGTTTCAAAACAGAATACCTTGCTAAATGAGGTGCTCCAATAATGTAACCAAAAAAAAAAAAAAAAAACAAAAACAAGAGGGATGTAAGGGCAAGAAGAAATTCCAATTGAAATTGTCTATAATTGATACAGTACGTGGTGCAATTTTTGGTTGTTAAATGAGTAGGTTCCAAATTGAATGTGACAATAACAAGTGCCCGCTGACCCACGACATGAACATAACATTGGAATGGATAAACATACCATAAATCAATATTTCTTGTAGAAAATGTCAAATGCTGACTTCATTTCATACACCTGTCATTTTCCATCAAGCTATTGATATCTGAATTTTCTTGCTATCCAAGCAACCAATTACGCACTAGATTATCTGACTTTCATGGTTGCTGATCAATGTGATTAATACGACGAAGTTCAAGACCAAAAAAAGTAATTATTAGGACCTAACAAAAACATCTGAGAGTATTTTTTTTAGCACATCAAGTTTCCTGATTTTTCCTCAGTGAAGTCCGCTGGCATGGTGGAACTCTAATATCAGGACAAGTAATGGCTTGGTAGCCACCAAAGTACGTAGCCATATCAATTAATGAAGCCTATCCTCATATCCTTAACCTTTTTTTTCCTTCGTTTTTTATGGAGAATTGACCTGACACATAACAGAAGAATTATGATATATAGAAAACTCATTATTTCTTTATGTGGAAATTCGCGGCAAGGACATGTACAGTGTGACTCATATATTGCACCTCAGCTAAGCAAGCACATTTGGTTTTTTTTTTCCTCTTTTTATTTTTAAACAGGAATGTCATATCACATTATCATAGTGGTTTCGTGACATCTCGTATTGCTACAACAAATCACAATTAGAGACGACAACAGTCGTTTTTTTTTTTTTTGGGTTATTTTTTTAGTTTTTAGTCGACAAAATATGATAATTTTGTCACATTAAATTTAAGTGTCAAATTTTATCAAATACTAACTTAACTAAATCAGTCACTTTAATGTTTTAAAAATACTCGTTATTTTGAACTCTTAATTGATAAAAAAATAGTTAGATTGGTTGATACTAAACTTTAAAAGTCTTGTTTTTCAATTTTTCATTATTTCAATCTATCATAACTAGTTTTTTTAGTCAGATTCATATTCATCATTTTTAAGTTCTTGCTTGAATTTTTTTTTTACTTCGTCTCACTAAATATAAGATTTAAATTTCATCACAAAACTGTTGAATTAACTTCATCAAATTTGTTAGTTTAGTGTATTGAAAACATATGTCCTTTTTAAAACTCTAAATTGATAAAATTGGTCAATTTAATCAATACTAAACTTGACAATGATTTTCAATTTTTTTTTAAAGGTTATTACTAACAATTTTAATCATATTAGTTATATACTAAATCTAACAAAATTTGATATGGAGAATGAAGAGATTTTAGTCCAGACATTAAATTTCATTTAATCCTCCATCTCTAACTATTGCATTTTTTTTTATTAAACATATAATTTTCTAAAAAAATTATTTCCTAAATCTAATTAATTTGACTATGTATACTAGAAGAATATGGAGATTGGAGAGGTTTTAGCCAAGTTAAACAACTTGTAGTAATCTTAATTGGAATTTTTTTAGGGGGCCAGCCCCATAAAGCTATTTTTTGTTTTCCTAAATGGTGTATATATAAAAGGAGATCTAAAAGATTTTGCCTTCCTTTATCATATATACACTAATCCCAAATTCCCAATACATGTCTTTCATAGCTACAATCTTCCAAGTCCTAATGATTTTTTGCTTTCTTTCTTCCAGTTGTCACTTAAATCCAATTTCTGATTGACTCTCTTTTATACTTTTTCTTTCTTCATGCTATATCATAAGCCTATATAACTTCAAAATCCTTGGATTAATGGCTAGAGATACTATAGAAAGTTATGGACTAAGATGTCTTCTTTATTTTTTACTTCTCTATTATATTTTTTATTTCTTCGAATTGAAAGTTTACGTGAGAGCAGAGAGTGTAAACGAAAAAACACAAGAAGAAAAAAGGTGGTGGTGAATCCTACCATAATTTGTATTTTTTAATAAAATGACTATTCTTTTCAACTCTTCACTTAGGAATTACGAAATTGGGGGTGTTTTTTAAAATTCAAATGCTCAAGATTTGAGCTTGCAAATTAAGTATTGTCAAATCAAGACCAACTAATTTTTTATAACATTTGATATGGTTGGTTAATATATTTTGATAATTTTTTTTATCACATTTAATGTTTGACTTGTCAAAATTCTTCATGATAGAAATTAGAAAATGACAAGTTTCACCACCACAAAGATTCGTATATGACAAATTTTTTCATTTAGTCTGCTAAAAAAATTGTTGTTAGTAATACATAAAAGAAAAACATAATAAAATAATAAAATCAGATTAAAAAATAAATACATACATTGTAGATTAAGATGGATAAATAATTGAAACATTTTACTCTAATTATTATAAAAATTAGAGATTAAAATCACGTTTTCATAGTTTTATGGTATAGAAG